TCTCGGTGGCGAACGTCTTCCATCCGTAAATCCCATTGGCAGCATACCACCTGGTCCGCCACCACGCGGAGAACGATGCCTACCAGATCCTGGAGGCGGACGTGGGGCTGCAAAAAATAATCAAATTGACTTCTTTTAAGATAAAAACGCAGGAGATTTCTCGTACCTACTAATTTTCATACGAGAATTTACCCTCATAAAATTCTCTTAAAAACTATACTTAGAAATCACGAAGTTAGCAAAAGAAAAAAAAAATGACATATCCCCATGAAACTTCTTTCCCCGTGAGCAACTCCCTTGAGACTTCCTTTCCTGTGATAAGTGTTGACATCTTACGAAAACTTGTGAGCAAATATAACTACACCAATTCAGGCATCCGAAAAAATGCAAAGAAGCGGGGGGAGGGGAGAGAAAGAAAACCCCAAAAAACTATTATACATAAAAAAGCTGGCAAAGCTAATGCGACAGTGGCACGTGCATGTCGATGTGGATGCATAAAAACTGCCCACATGTTTCACCCCTAAACGAATGGTGCAAAATCCGGTAAAAGTTTGAAAATCAACCGATTTCCCACTATTTGTGGAGCAGTGGATGTGAGATATGCCTTTTTGAGTAGGTCTATGGGTGGGGTTGGAAAAAATGCCGTAATTTTTCCCTCTTTTATAAACATAGGCTTTGATTAACGTAATGCTCCCACCATCCATAAAACAAGAAACATCAGAGCGTATCGAAAAGCGCTCAAAAACACGTTATATTCTTATGTCAGGCAGATTTTAACGAGCGAAAAACAAAATTACATGAATGGAAGTCACGCGCACGTGAATCAATCATGTGCGTCTTTTCAAGGGTTTTTCCCGACCAACTCTGTTCACTGGGCATTGCTCCCCGGACTGGCATCGGTGGTCGGCCACGTTCCGATGGTGAATGTGTTGGCGGTCCACCGCCACCGCCGCCGCCACCACCACCACCACCCGATCCACCCTTATCACCGATCAGCTGCACACGAAATGCATTCCACTTGAACGGCATTGATGGATTGTACGATGCTTCCACAATCACACGATCACCGGTACGAGGCAGAGCACCGCGTACAACACTGAAATTTTTGTGATTTTGAGGGAACCTATAGAACTTTTCAGCAAATTATTCGGCCGAAAAAGAAAAAAAAACTCGGAATTGGCCTAAATTACAGCTTTTTGCCAGCAAAAATTCAGCTTTAAAGCATGCCTAGATCTCGCGTGCAAGCAAATAAGTGCTTAGTTTGGAGCAGTTTGGCATCCAGTTAGCTCGGTAACCAGACTGAGCAGGAAGTAGTATTTTTCTGAGGATGTTTGCTATTCTTATGTGGGCCACTGGCAAAGTTATCAATTGACTAATGCTATCAAGTTATTTTACATATTGCCAACAAACAATGTGTGTGTGCATAAACGAACAACAAACGGTAAATCTTAGAGCAGTAACAGTCAAAGTGAAACACACATTAAACAAGTCGTCTACTTAAATATACAAAAGGATATTATGCTGGGTGGCTAACGAACGACGGCAAAATTGGTACTATCTGTGGCACCAAAGCCACATAGCTCAATTCTATCAGTGGGACGAAACTAATCCCCCTCATCTGCTTTAGTAGCAAGCTGGCACCGGTAATCGCCGTCAGACGGCACCCAAACCACTACTGAAAATAATCACTTTCAGCCCGAGAACCAGAAAAGCTAGAAGGTTGAAACTTCCAAATAACCACTGAAAATAACCACTTTCAGCTCGAGAACCAGAAAAGCTAGAAGGTTGAAACTTTAGAAGTACATGCCCACATCATGCGCGTCCCTCCTTTTTAATACCACCATCCATCTACGTCTGGGTGCTGCGTACGGACGTCTTTCACCTCAGTTTTGTCAGGAAGTAACCGTATTTGTTACCACTCGGGCTATTTTCGATGCCTTTGTTTCTCAATAGGGGGCTGAATACAGAAGTTTTAATTATCGAAAAAAATTTAGAAAATTTGGAAAATTTATTTCAGAAAGTATGGTTCGGCGTTCCAACGGCCGCAAAAAAACCACTTTACGACTTCACTCTCTTCAGATACTTCTATTTGAGAAGTCCCTTGTTCTTGGTGTAATGCCGAATTGCCGAAAAAAAAAGGACTAAACAGTCCTACTAATCTTATTACGCATGTATGCATAAGCAAACGAGGTTCCCAGTATTTGAAATCTGCCTAAGTCTCATCCTTCACTGACAGAAAGAGACCTTCCGGTCCATGCAGGATGACAGTGCGCCTTAAACCAACGTTTGCATAAAAATATTTTGGATCAGTCCCGAAATTTCGCCTTGCCGCTGCCGTCTTGATCTTTAATTATCACTTTGTCATGACTCTTATCGCCAGTTCTACTGCCCTGACTAGGCCACACAGCAGAAAAAAGGTTCTGTGAGCAACAAAAGGCGGAACGAGAGGAAGTAGGGGAGGGGAAGGAGGAAGGGAGAGAAGGGAAAAAGCATACCTGACTTGGAAGAATACGTCGTCATCGATGAATCCATAACTATCATGCATTTTTGTGACAACACCCGAGAAAGTACGATTCTTCTGCTGGAAAAATTTCTTGCATTCAACGATCAACTCATGAGCTCCATGCCCCTCCCCTCCCCCGCCCCACACCTCCCTCCCACTACCCTCTCTTTTTCTGTCCCAAAAATACATAAACATAAAAGGTGCCTAAAAAATAACAAAAATTTTTACCTGTTGAGGTGCTTGCATTCGAAGGGCTTGCTGTGGTGCTTGCAACATGCCCAAATTCATGCTCATATTTGCTGCTGCTTGTTGCGAAAAAGCTGCCGCATTGATCATGCCCATCTGGGCAAATGGCTGCGCTGCTCCAATCAAGGGGTTTTGAAAAAGACCAGCGTTGAGTTGCTGATTTGCACCTGAAATTTCCCTGAGTAGTTCAGCAGTTAACCCTTGTCTACATACACCATATCAGCAGCAGATGGATGATGTCACTTATCTGTTGAAATTAAAAGTCATTCCGATTCGTATTGGACGAAAAATCTACATGCAGAGTAAGAAATGTATAGGACTTTTTTTCACGTCTCCGTCTTGCAAAATAGTAACATGCCCCTTCAATACATGGCGGGTAGAAGGCTATACTGACCATTCCCACTGCTACCCGCATGCATAGTTCGGTCTGTGTTTACAGCTAAGAAACGAAACAAAATGTTTTTTTATACATGACACTTAAGTCGAATCCTTCTACTCTACTATTAATGGACTGAAACATTTTTTTACCACTGTAATATATTTTATACGATTTTATAACTTTTATTAATTTCTTCTTTATTATTTGTTTTGTCTTCTAACTTCAACATATTTTCCACTGATTAATGAATAATTTAACTAGCTATCTAATCAGAGAAAATGCCCAAACGGTACCATTTCACCAACAGTAAAAGTCAGCTGTTCGGCAGATCCTTGTTCCGTGAGTTATTCCAGTAACAATCTGAGTCTGCTTTGGCACCCTAGCGCGTCAGACAAGTAAGTTTCAACAAGGCAAATCAAAAAAATCGTGCAAAAACCATTTTCCCCCCTTTCAAAGCCACGGCCAGGGCTCTGGAGGGGGCCTCTTTTGTTCAAATCAAGCTCAACAGGACATCCATTATAAGGAAAATGACAAGTCAAGCTGTTGGTCTGGGGCCTTGGAGGTCTTGTCCGCTTGCCCGGTGCTCCGGCGCCTCCTCAGGTCGTTGGCTGGGTCGTCGACTCCTTGGTGATAATACGGGGTAGGGGGGTGGTCCACGTCCTTCGTTGGTCGTCAGGGCCACCACCACAACACAATACAACACTTTAACACAAAACCTGCGGCCTTGTATAGGCAGCTTCGCGTCATTATACCTGTCCCGGCTAGGAGGGGAATCATCATGCAACAAAGCAATCCTTGAAGGGCTAAAAAGTTAGCTTGCTATGCATGCTTGGCCTGTCTTCAGCAGCATCCTGAGCTCCACTCTAACAATCTAGCCCGCTCAGATGGATCATCTCCAAAAGCCAATTAGGCTCTATCACTTTACCCGTAAAAAACAACCACACGAGCTCCCAGTTTACCGCAAAATGACAGAGAAATAACGAGAAATTCGAATATCACGCTCTTGGAAATTTGAATAAATTTGCATATATGATTATCGTAATTTCCACTAATGCAAGTTTTTATGATGATCCGTGTGAGAGACCGCCAGGACAATCAGTTTTTAGCTGGGATGGCAGTACTTCCGCCAGATGAAACCAAGCAAAATGAGTAGTGTTAAGGCAGATTCTTTAGTTCTCAGCCGTGCGTCTCTAATTTTTACTCAATATAATTG